GAATATAAATAAATTTATATAAAAAATATTTTATATAGATATTTATTTTTTATAAAAACTTTTTTATATAAGAACTTATTTTTTTGGTCTGACTAAATTCTTATAAAAAGGTATAACTATATAATATAATAAATTATTAACAAAAAAATAACTAAATTCACCAAAAAATATTAATATTTAAACTAAACTAAATATATAAAAAGATTTTTTAAAGAAAAAAATATTAATAATATACTTTGCTATTATTTTTTTAATTATATTTGTTAATTATTTAATAATATATTTAATTATTATTTTAAATATTCTAAGTTTATAAATATATTTATTTTTGAATAGATTATTATATTAGATATTTTTAGTTTAAAAATATATTTTATATAATTTTAAAGTAATAATAAATATGTTTTTTGTTTACATTATAATAAAAATTTTTTAAAATTCGTAAATATATTCTTTAAAATATTAAAAGCATAATTTTTAATATTATAAATCATATTAGTATATTAATATATTAATATATTATAAAATTTGCTATTAAAAAAAATAAATTAATCTTTTAATATTTAAATAAAATAAAATATAATATAATAAAAAATATTTTTAATAAGAAATTTTGAAAAGAATTTTATAAAAATATATTTGAAATTTATTTAATAAATATTATTTTTAAAAGATTTTATATTATAAATTTTTTAATAAAATATAGCAAATATAATAAAAATGAAATATTTACTATAATTTATTAAAAATTTATAAAAATAATATTTTGAATAATATATTTTTATAAAATTCTTTTCAAAAATACTTATTAAAAATATTTTTTAATAAGTTTTAAATAATTTTCATTAAAAAGCATATTTATTATTATTTTCATCAAATTTATATATATTAATTATAATAAAAACTGTTTATTATCTATTTTAAATTTATTAATAAAAAGAAAATATATCAAAATTAATTTGAATTTAAAAATTAAAATTATTAATTTTATTTAAAAATAAATTAAAAAATTTAATAAAATATATAATATTGTTCTAATTACATATAAATCAATTATTTTTTATAATAAAAATATTATTATAGTTATAATGTAAATTTTTTAATTTCTGAAACTTAAAAATAACTTAAAAAACAAAAACTATTCAAAAAAATACAAAAAAATAATAATAGCAAAAATAGCTCAATAATATTTATTTTTTACCTTACAATTTGATATAAGATAGTTACTATTAATAATTAATATTTAAAGTACTATATAAATTTATAATAAAATTTAATAATTATAATAATAAAAATACTTTAGTTATCTTTAAATAAACTTTTAATTTTCACTAAATAGTATAATTTATATTTATAATTAAAGTTATAACTTATTTTTAGAACTATAAATTAATATATGATAATATATATTAATCTCAAACTTGTATAATAATTTAGTTTAAGTTAATTTAAACTTTAAATTTTTCTTGAACTCAAGCCAAAGTCTGATTCAAGTTCAGTTCAAATTTCAAATTAGATTCAAATCCAAATAAAATTCCAGTTTAGTTTATAGAGATATTTTTTATTTTTTTATTATTTTATATTTTATTTTCTTCTTTTTTAATCTTTATTTTCTATAACTCTCTTATATTTTTTTATAGCTTTAAATTTTTTAGTTTATTTGTTTAATTTCTTTTTCATCCAGATTCAAGTTGTAAGTTTAATAATTAATGAACAAACTTGTAATAACATATAAAAAATAGTTGACTTTAGATGCAATTAAAACAACTTTATCAAATTAAATCTAAAAAAAATATATGTTAAAATATGTGATATTATCTTTATTTTAGTAAAATTGAATACTTTTATATAAAGAGAAAAACCTGCATTTTTTATACTTTTATTATATTTTATTAATAAATTTGTTTTATACTGTATATGGATTAACTTCTTTCAGAAAAATATTAGAAAATATATTTGAATTATAAAGATGCTAATTCCAGAAATAATCCAGAATATAACAGGAAAATTTGCTGAGATTTTTTCAGAAAAGAGCAAATTTTTGTAATTGTATCAAAGATTTATCAGATTAACCAATAATTTCTGGAATTTAAAAAATAACAGTTCAGAAAATTTCCTGAGTTTTTTATAGGAAATATAAATTATACTTTTTACTTTAAAATAGAATACAAAATTTATTCATAAAATTTAATGAAAATAAAATTTTCTATTTTATTCAATAATTAATACAAATATTGAAAAATATATTTTCAAACAATTAAGTTACTTTAGTACTCTTTTTTGTTTTCCTTTTACAAAAAAATAAAGATTCTCACAATATGATCTTTTAAACAAATACATATAATCAAGATCTTTGAGCGTTCTTTCTTGGGCTAATCTGTTGGTATGAAAAGAATGAAACATTTGCTTACCAAAGCCGAAAATAGCGATCATTTTGATGTGTTATTTCTTAGCAAAGCAAAAAGCTGGCAAAAAAAACTAATTTTGCTTTATAAAAAAAGCGAGTGCAGCAGGTTTACTTAGAGTTCAAAAAGAAGTTTATTTGAGAATTGACAACTCGCTTACAAGTAATGTTGATAACTAAAAAATTTTGAACATTATAGTAATATCACGGCATGACTGCTATAATTTAACTATATCAAGAGGTCGTTATAGCGAGTGTCTTTTATAGTGAGTATAGAATTTCTTTTGAGAACTTACGTATTAGTTATTCCCTTAAAGTCGCAGTCTCCACAGATTGAATTCCATATTGATATTTAACCATAACTTGTAATAATAGGTTCAATTGGTAATTACTTGATAAAACCAACTTAGCTTTTACAATAACTTAAACTTTAGATTTAAAAAATAATCCTGAGTGTAAAGCTCTTTTCGGGCCGGGTTTGACCCGAAAATTGTAAAATAGTTTTTCGTTAGTAATGCTTATTTTTACTAAGACACTTGTATTTTGTGTCCTAAGTAGAGTTGTTCGGAATGTAATTGTGGATATATCCACAAATTTTCGTTTAATTTCAATTAATATTGAACGAGAAACTACGATTTTTGGCTGACCCGAAATGTGCGTTCCGGGTCGGGTCACGGATTGGACCCGACCCGGTTGGAGCACTACCTGAGTGTAATGACTTTTTACTAATATCAATTTCAACTCATACCAGAACCTAAAATTAAAGTTCTGAACAGAACCGAATATAATAAAAAATATCAATAGGCTATAAGATATTTTAATAATTTATATGATTTAACCGGATACAAACCGAACCGAACTGTTAGGATACTAATTTGACAGGTTCTTTATATTTAACTTTCATTCTAACTTGTTCTTTACCGACTTAGAAGGATTGCAATTAAAAAAACTCTGCCAAAGTACTACTAATCCTAAAAGATTTATCTCATACGGCTAAGAGAAGTGATCTTTTCAAACTGTCCCAACAAACTCGAATTAAAAATGATGACGAGGTAAGCACTCTAGAAGAGAATGCCGCTGAATTCGCTAGGAATATAACTCTTTGAAAAAAGTGCCCGTGTTACTGAACTAAATAAACAAAAATCTCCAGTCATTCCTATAACGATAAGAAGAATACGCCTGTAAATTTCAATATATGCCAGTGAAAAAATACGGAAGTATACGAAAAAGTCTGATATGTTGTAAAACACACGTGAAAAGGGACTTTTTACGTGTCTTTTACAGATATATCAGACTTTTTCGTATATATGACGTGAAATTTCTTATAAAAGTGACCTCTTACGTGTCTTTACACGTATATCAGACTTTTCGTATATATGACGTGAAATTTTTCTTATAGGACATCTGGATTTTGTTAATTTAGAAATACTTATTAGCAATGTAAGTTTAAGCAAGTGCTCAAAGTTATATGACTGTGTTTAAGCAATCTAACGCAAGTAAAAATATACGTAATTGGATGGTTGACTATTCTCACAATCCCAATGTCAGCAATAATTTCGGGTTAAGAACTTTTCTATTGTTCCAAACTAAAAGAACTTAGTGGCATCAAAAATTGATCGAGATTGGAATTTTATATCTCTTAGAAGCTTACTAAGTGAATAGATTTTGACAAATGTCCGAAACTACATCGTCTTTCCGCAACAGGAACAAAAACTTGCAATGTTGTCCGAATTAAAGTTCTATCTCTTTGCAAACACCGGCCGCCGCAATTGACGGATATTAATTAATGTGGAAAATACTTTCAAATAAAACCTCGGTGTCAAAAAGTAATCAAGCACGAATTTTAACAGCACGAAGCATTTTGATCTATTTTTATTCAGTTTACTCTGTGCGAAAAAAGTGAAGAAAAAATTTAAATAACAAGTTTGCTATAACGATAATAACGTAATCTATTTAACGTTAAGCGAATATCAAAATTTATCGGATTAATCAACAATATCGTGGCGTTTAATAATCTTGATCCCCTGCATTCTCATTGTGGCGTCATGCAGTTCCGCCCATATAAGACTTATTGATTGAAGCTTAATTATTTTTATTCATATTTCTTGGTTTCTCGGATAACTAACTACGTATAATACGTACATGTACATGTAATATGGTATTTGTGTTACATCATTTATTCATTGTCATTTTTATATTGATGGATGGATGATATCGTGTGTGTGTGCGTTCGGATAAATACAACGTACATAATAGTACAACAACGGCACACATACGTATTTTTATTATTATTTTTTTTTAATTCACTCGTTTAAAATTCATTCATTTCACAATTAATCATCATGCTGAAATTTTTGTAGTTTACTAAATTATTTTGATATTTTTATTACCTTAAAAAGAAATAATTAATTACGAAAAACGAGCAGAGAATCTGAGGAGGAAATCAAGACGAAAAATAATTGGACAAGAGCGGCACGACGACGACAACAACAACAATCGAATCAATCAATTAATCACTGATAAAATATAAATAAATATAAATAAATATTAAAATAATTTAATAATAATAACCATAACGGATAATAATAATAATAGAATGGAACTAAATAAACCTCAATTGCCAATTGATATTCTCGACGAGATAATTGAAAACTTAGCGGACGATAAAGAAACACTTTTCTCAACTCTTTTGGTTAGCAGAGATTGGTGTCGTACAACTGTCCCTGTATTATGGCGGAATCCATTTGAATTATTGCCAACGACACGGGAACAAGAGCAACACAAAATCCGAGCTCTATTAAAAATATATTTCTCGTACGTGAATAAAGATGATCTGGCAGCTGTCAAAGTATGGAATGTAAAAATCCCAAAACTTAGGCGTCCAACAACGTTCGATTACATTTCTTGTATGGAAAAATTAAATGATCGACATATAAGTATGGCGGTTAATATCCTGTTCCCGGAATTAACTGATGGTTTCGCGTATCCAATTGGTCAAAATATGGTTTGTTACGCTTTAATCAAACAAATGATTCGTCGTGCTGCCCATCTACTGGAAGTCTCTCTTTCCACGCATCATTGGTCAATTCTGCCAAATGATCACATTGAAGGATTTTTTGACACTTTATTGGAACTTCATCCGAAAATACGCAAATTCAAGTTTCGTATTCGTAATTTCGGATCATATGATTACGATGAGGACCATTTGAAATACGGGATCTGTGTGGCAAGAATGATCCCGAAATTGAAGCATCTGGAACAAGTGGAATTTGCAAATTTCGATGTTGGACTCACAGAAATCCTAAAGACGCTGAAAAGTCGTCCGAAAGCTTTAAAGAACATTAAATTTTGGTACTGTTGTTTTTTGGATGGACGACATGAAGTGCTCAAAGATTGGCAGAATGTTGAAGAATTAGAGGAATTTTTGTCGGTTGGGTGTCATCATTTGGTGTCAAGTGAATTGGGAACATTGGGAGAGAAAATGCAGTTAAGGATGAAAGATAATTTACGCGTGCATTTAACCGCGAAACCTAAAAATCCCGAAAGTGTCGATTCCGCGATCACTTTAGTTACAAATGAATCAACGTCATCGTCCTCCTCCTCTTCATCCTCGTCATCTTTGAAGTCGTGGTTATCATTCACTAAAAGTTAAGCTTCACCACCATAATTTCTTTAAGATTCTATTTTTTATTTTAGTTTTTATATATATTATATTTTTATCCTTTCTTATAATAGAATAGCTGTTGACTCTAGCAGATTCTTTTATTTTTATTGTTAATGTAGCTTTCTTAGCAAAAAAATATATTCAAAATTACAACATGTTGTAGAATCAATAGTAAAAATCCGAAAATATGTAATTTAGGTTTTTTTTATTTTTTTCGATATATTATGTAAGATTATTATATATACACACAGACATATATATAGTATCTTATTTGCTTAGATTGTTCCAGTAGTCTTTGCCTTTACAGAAAGATGCTTGTTTTTATTGCGATGGCGGAAATTAAAAAATACCATTTTTCTTATTACTATCCCTGTTGTTCTTCTGCTCCCCACTTTACACTCTTGTTAGTATTTTTCTTTTATTTATTCTTTAGCGAAGCAACATGAACATTTTTTCTTGATGTTTTTTCCGCGTAATTTTCTAGCATTTTACAAATAATATTCTCGTTTGCAAACATTGATATCGATATTGAAAATTTTTCACTACGTACAGGACAGGATAAAAATGGAATTTTTTTTTCATTTTCTCGATCAACAGCATTTTCATATCGATATAGCATACGTATATCGATATATCAAAACTGCAAGATCATGCAAAGATACCAGAAACTTTAAAAAATTTGAGAAGTAAAATCAACATCGAGTTTGCGGGAACGTCAACGTCAAGTTTTATTGATATTGTAAATGGTGGTGGTCTAAAATACCCTGGCACCATGCATTTTTTTATATTATAGAATTATTTGATTATAAGATACAAAAGAATATGGCCCAAAAGTAGGGAGGTACCTTTTACGGTACATCAAATTTCGATTTTCAGTTAAAACAAGGAAACCTATTGCAGAGACAAATGTTTAAAATATTTAATTATCGATAATAAATTTTGTTCGATATAGCATATTTACTCGATAAAATGGATTGTTGAAAATTTTTACTAATAGTCCAACCGAGTAATAAGTTAATTAACTTGTTGCTTTATCCATTTTGCTGGCGTTTCAAACTGGATATTGGATCTGACCGCTACGATGAAGGATGTGTGTAGTTGCGATGACGTGGGTGATGAGTATATGCGGGTTTTTGAATGTGTTCTATTAATTGTAATGAAATTATCTAAATATTTTTGTAGGAATGCGCCCATCAATATGAGAAAGCGCATTTACTGAACTTTATCGTATGATTAAATGAACTTTAGTTAATATATTGAAATATTAATTTTCTTTATATTCTTTTAATTTCATGCTGAATTGAATCCATTATAATAATTATGTTTAAAATGATTTTTCATATTATCTTTTATAATCAGATGTCTTCATTTAATATTTGGGATTATTTGCAATTTAATTGAGAGCATTTCCATAGCGATAGAAAAAATTAATGAAAAAGTATACATTTTCTATGGAACCTGTAGCGTGGCTTTCCATTTAGTAGTTCTGGAGCTCTGGACTAATGCAAGGAAGAACTCCGTAAACTTGTGAATTTTCACAAACCTATGATAAGATTTAATGTGCGAAGATCTCCTACAGTCTATAACAAATGAAAAAAATTATTATTGTATTATAAATAATACACGTAACAAGATAAAAATTAGTTAATTTGAAAGCTAAAAACA